AAACTCACGAGAATCCATCTTGGAGCTGTACGGTTAATCACCTGGGTGAACCAAACACGTCGCATAGGGATGGGACGAGACAAGATTTGAGTTTGGGTCCAAGAGCATGAGCCAAAATGAGATTTTAACATAATTATTAATATATAGGCGAATTTCATTGTTGACAAAAGCGCGCGTTGCATGCTGGGAATTATTTTGGTCGGTGGCAATAAACACTCATTCAACATGACGGACGGAGCGAGAAAGCACGTAAAGGGTATTGATCCCGGTTATTTATCCACTCTAACGGCAGAGGACCCAAGACCATTTGACCAGAAATTGGTCATAAGCATCGATGGACCAAATCACCCTTTTCAACCCCTACAAAAGGTGGATCAAACCAAATTTCTGGTCAGAATCGCCAACTACCTGGACAAACATTCACTTCGATGATATCCACAATGACTTGGTGGAAACTCCTGGGCCATTCACAGCAGAAAAGATGAAAGCCTCCAAGAGTCTCGATGTGTTGTTGAACTTGTTGGAGTCCACGGTTTGTTAGGATCTTCTACGTTTGCTCTGTGAATGTTTGAAAGCCGTTTAATTCGCCGTTAGCGGTTCTTTTCACTCAGAATACGAAAAAGACATTTTCCTTCTTCCGTGCTTCTATTTGTGCAGCCGATAATGCAGCAGGAATTTACCATTATCGGGGATAAATACGCGAGGTTACGCACTGTGTTTGACGCTATCGTGTTTCTTGCCTCCGACCAAAATATTTCCCAGCATGCAACGCGGGCTTTTAATAACAATGACGTCAGCTGAAATCTCGCCTATAAATTTCACGATTCACTTTCTAGTTTTGGCCTCACAATTTAAAATTTCTTTGATTTCATATTTTTATAGAATCGTTTCCATTCTAGGACTTGTTTTGGAAATGTAAAAGACGTAACTCACCAATACTTAACCCAGTTTTGTCCAATCAAAATGTAAAAAATAAATAAATAAATAAAGATCTCATGAGATAATTTTCCTTTCTTGTGGCATGCATGAGATCTTGTCCCATTCCTAATGTCGCAGCAGATGTTTTAGCACCAATACAGACTTAGTTTACTTTACTATTTGCTTTAGTTTAACTTAAATAGTCGTCATGACATTCTACGCTTCAGATTGATAATGTGTAAACCTCAATGTAGAAAAGTCAGTGTTAGGATTCTCACTGACCGTGGTATAAACAAGGACATTTGGTATTAATAGCAACTTGAAAAAACCTGAAAACAATACTGTAAAATTGATCTATAAAATCTATTTCTAAATCTAGCACTAGGGGATACTCAAGGCTACTCAAAACTACTTCCTATACCTTCCCCTCTTTAGCTCCCTCCTCCTCCTCCTCTTCTTCTTCATACTCTTCCTCCTCAGAGTCCCACTCGTCTTCCTCACTAATCTCTCCTTCCTCTGTGTCCGAGGTCTGTGTGTTGTGGAGCAGAGAGGTCCTTGATTCACTGATCGACTGAGGGGAAGAACAGCGGTGTTACATGACCGATGATTGTGTTAAGGGAAGGGCCGGTGATCTGATACACCGCATTACAGACGAGCTATAGCGAGGAAACTGATGTATGGGCAAAGAAGAAGAAGAGAACTTTACAGAAAACAAGTTGGATAATAAAGGGTTCGAGAACAAGATCCAGATTTTCAGCTGATGTCGTTATGGGGCTAAATGAAAGCACTGCTCTGTTAGTAGTTCTGTATTTTTCAGACTATAAGGCGCACCGGATTATAAGGCGCAATATCAGTAATGTTGAATTCTCTCGTCTATTTTCATGCATAAGTCGCACCGGATTATAAGGCGCATTAACTAAAACAAATGGACGACACTTTAGACTGATCCGTTAGTCCAGGCGTCCACGATCCATCGGCAGATCGTGACGTAATTCGCCCGGCGTTGCCTCCCTGTCTTGGTGAATGTGTTTTATGAATGTGAATGTGGGTGGATCATTTAAGTTTTTTATTTCCTACGAGGACGACTCAAATATACGTTGAGTAATAATGTGTTTAATGCAGCTTTGCGCACATTTGTTTACGTTTTACAGAAATGAAACTTAAAACCACATGACTCATTTGCATAAACTATAAGCGCTGAAAAAACAAAACAAAACAGCTCACTCCTGGTGCGCTGATGTGGTCAGTTTCAGTCAGACTAAAGGACACGACTCAGTGGAAATAGGTGTTCTTTCTGTGACGAACCCAAACCCACGGTGCCCAAAAGTGATTATTTGAGTTATGTTTACTTCTGAATTTGCTGAACACTTTTGTTTGTTACTTTTCTTTGACACAAAACACAACTCCAGGTCTGTTTTTGAGGGGCTAACAACATTATAACATGACTTTAAGGTGCACTATATAACTTTTTGGCTTTTGTCAGTCACCTGCTTGTTTCTATGGATGTGTCATTGCCTGGAATGTCCCACAGTACGACTTTAAACAGTTCTACTTTACATTTATTAAACTACAAATGGATTTGTCGCTCAAAAATACCTATAAAAACAGGCATTCTGACTGTGAGCGGGGTCGCCTCTCCACATATCTGACCTGTAACTTGGTCTGGTTTGGTCTTCATGAAGATACAAAGGTTTAAGGCCATACTGTGGAACATTCTAGACAAAGCAATATCTAATCAAGGCGGAGAAAAGCATTTGATGGACTCTCCACCAGAAAAGTTACACAATGCACCTTTAAAGGGACAGTTTTACTTCAGGTGTTTTGTGGAGTGGGTAAGACTGTTTTTAGTGGCAGGATAACTATGGCCATTGACATGCACTAGCCTAGCACCAGCGACCTCTGCAAATACAAGGACTGGATGGAATATTTTAAAAAGTGTCTCCACACGTCTCCAACACTCTGGATCACTAGGAAATGAGGCCCTATGTCCAAAATTCCAAAAAACTGTCCCTTTAAAGCTCACAAGAGTCAATTTTGACCGATACTGACACTAGAGAAACCTTCAATCACAGATACAGATATTATCACCACTATATGAACCATCCCTCATTTTTACCCACTTCATCTGTTTTACTGTGATATAAAGACCTATTATTTCCATCTAGAGACAGAACTAATGATGTGATCTAACTTTGGAGCATCTCTGGCAGTGATGTATGCACGGTAATTAGTGATTCATTTGAACTGGAGAGGTTTTCAAGCTCTGCGGCTCTATAGTTTCAAAGGCGCGCTGTGGAACTTTCCCGGTGGAGAGCCCGACCGTTGCTTTCTCCACGAAGATGCCAAAATGTTCTACGGTGTGGCTTTAAACCTATTCATCTTGCATTCAGTGAATTTGATTAAAAGGTCATATATTACGCAACACTGACTCTTGTGTGCTGTTCAGAAGATTTTGATTTGGATGAGAGAGAGACGGAGGGGGCTTGAACAATTTTCCAAAGGCCATATGACCACAGAATTTTTATTTTGCGTTTTAATAACTGTTGTTTTAATTCCACTTTCTGTGTATTTAATAAAGGAAGGTGACAAAATGGTGAGAATGACTGTTGGCAAATGTTTAAAAGCACAAATCAGCTCACATGTTCTATAGTTCCAGCTAAAGCTACGTTCAGACTGCAGCTTGAAGTGACCCAATTACGATTTTTTTGCCCCTATGCTCCTGTATCTGATCTTTTAATGACAGTCTGAACGACACAGATCCGATTTTTTCAAATGCGACCCAGGACACTTGGATATGTGGTCCTAAAACCGATACATATCCGATCTTTTGACATGTAACTTCAGTCTGAATGGACAGGTCACATTCATCCCACCTACACGTCACAAATGTACACAAACCTTCTTCTCGTCAGACAAAAATTTTATATGAACTCCATGTAAGTGAAGCAGTGAAGCACAGCTCTTGGTTGCAAGATATGCTGATGCCACTTAGTGTCTCCGCTCAATTTCCTTTCTCTCCAGCGGCTAGGTCAGGAATCAGAATACAATAGATGGTTCGCAAAAACCCCAGAAGTGCGAGTTCGGGCACCAGCCAATCAGCGAAGAGCCATACATATATTCTGTGTTGGGAACGATTCCGATTGGTGAATTTTATCAAGGGGAAAGGCGTTGTTGTCCTTTTTCCTACGGGATTTGGGAAAAGCTTGATATACCAGTTAGCTCCATTAGTGGCGCATTACATACATCACGACCAAATAGCAGTGATTGGTTAAATGAAAAAAGTACCCGCCTACCGTCGAGCGAACGAATTCTAATGCCAGGTCAGACGGTTTCGACGAGGTAAAACCGGCTGATGAATCAGGGTACTTGGCTGCGACTCTGCACCACACTTTCCTTTCTACGGACGTTGACAGGAAAAACGCCATGTCCAAAAACCTCGTCCTTCTCCCTCTCAATCTCCTCCTCGAAACAAATAAGCTGTACATGTTCTAGCTCCGGTATGACAGCAACTTTAAAATCACCGGGTGCTCAATGCAGTGTCCATGTTTAGGCGACTTCCGTAAACATTGAGCACGCTCGCTCCTCCAATGCACACGCGGGACACTTTTGGAGCGTTTAAATTTCACACTGGAGATCACGTACGAGTCGCATTTAACTGGAAATGTGAACGACCTCGCGAAAAAATCTTATTTCACAAAAAAATCCGAATTGAGCATTAAGCCCTGCAGTCTGAACGTACGTCTGAACTTTTGTCACCTCTTTCTGGACAGATTGTGTTAAAATAAACCACAGATTAAAATCTAATAAAGCCTCAGACAGAGCAGAGCCTACAGTTAGCATCACACCCCTTGGGAATGTTGATGACATCAGCTGCAAAGTATTAATAAATACCTTTTGTGTTATTTTTATCATGTATTATTCATTTCCAAAGAAAAACTGGATACAAAATGAGTCCATAAAGTTCATTAAAAAGGATTGGAGGATTGGTCAAAGTCTTTAGGATGGATATATTCTGGGTATATTTTACCGAAACTCCAGACTGAAATATTCTCCCAGATCCATTCTATAAACGTTTGTCTCACCTTCTGCCTCTGCTGCATGGAGCTCATGGCGTCCGGCTGAAACTCCAGCTTGTCTGTGCGGCACAGTTTCCAGTAAAGGATGGAGATGATAATGATGACGACGAGCAGCGGTATCACCACTCCGATAATGATCCATAAGTTTGTGTTCACGTTTTCAGCCGGAGACGAAGCCACTTTCTCCACCGCTGCAATAAGAGCACACAGATCTATATGAGAACTACAGGAAACTTTTAAAGGGCCTATATATTACGCAAATATTGATTCTTGTGAGCTTTAAGTCACGTTATAATGTTGTTACCTTCTTCAAAACAGACCTGGACTTGTGTTTTGTTTCATTCACACATGAAGCTCTTTATTATTAGTTTACAAAGATTAAAATGCTCTGTTCCAGCTTGTGATGTCATGAAGCGGTAGTTTTCAAGTTAAGCCTTTAATAATATCTTTAGTTCAGAAGAGATTGGCAATTCCAGGGCTGAAATTATTCAAATGATTCTAGCTGGAGTCTCCAACCTGTAGCTCAGGAACTACCAGGGGCTCTCAAAGGGGTTCCTGAATTATATATTTTGTTCTGAAATCAACTACAATTACTACATGCAAGAGTAATTGACAAAAACTGAATTGTGATTTTTCTGGCAGATATTGCGATTTCGATTTCATCCATAATTTTTTTTTTTAAGAGGTAAGCTTTGATTTGTTTTGTTTTTTTCGATTTTTGGTTGTACAGACTCATAATAAACCGTAGCGAGAATGAAAACATGTAAGGATATTTTTGTTTTCATTTATGGTCGTACAAACAAATAATAATTTTAACTCTTACACAAAAGTTTATCGTTTCTGATCACAGAAAATAAGCCATGATTGAACCAGGATTGGTCTTCTCTACCACCACTCTACATACATTTCCTGTACGCTGGTTTCCTTTCTTTCAACATACAATGAGTAATAATGTGTTTAATGCAGCTTTGCCATGTTTGTTTACGTTTTACAGAAACAAAACTTAAAACCACATGGCTCATTTGAATAAGCTCTGAAAAAAACAGCTGGTTCCTTGTGCCCTGATGTGGTTCAGCTTCTGTCAGACTAAAGGACACGACTCAGTGAAATATGAGTGTTTTTTCTGTGACTCAGAGGATGTACTGATGATGGTGAGTCTGTTCTGTGCTTCTATCACATTGGAGATGGTTCATGTTAAACTTTACATGAACACCAAATTTAAAGGTTGTATAGAGGATTTTCCAAGGAACGAGAAATCCAGCGACTGTTTGTCCTTTTTCAAATGTTGCGCATGCGTGAAACCACCCCCCCTCCCCTACAGCTCCCTACGTAGAAACGCCTCCTTCCGCCTCCTCTTTACGCCAGAAAGAAACCGGTGCGCTGCACATGACTTGTAAACAACTAACTACAGTGTTGGTTAGGCAAGACGGAGAAGTGAGGAGCGGGGGGAGGGGGTGTGCGGACATTTCGTTCGCGGACGAGAAGTGAGGAGCAGGGAGAAGAGCGGAACAGGGAGCAGGGAGAGGAGAGGGGAGAGAGGAGAGAGGAGAGAGGAGAGGAGAGGGGAGAGGGGAGCGGAGATTCCGTGCCCGGAGAAGTGAGGAGCAGGGGGAAGAGCGGAACGGGCAGCGGGGACAGGAGCAGGAAAGGGGTGCAGAGAAGGTTGCGCGGAGATTCCGTGCGAATGAACTAGCTACAACACGCAGCAGCAAGCGGACTCTTTCTTTGCCTTGAAAATTACATTTTCAGACATAGGATATCGCTTTCGTGTCCTGAAAAACATTTGTCTCGCTCTTGGAAATAAAGTACGTTTTCATAATAAGCAGAAGTTTCCTGTCCAGGAGTAATTTGGCGACCAATGCGTCAGTCTTTAGACCCTGCGTCTGCTTCAGTTCGCGCCATCGCTGGAATGAATCTTCAAGAATCACCTTAGTTTGGCTTCGCTGCTTTTCCCCTTGTCTTCTTCTTTCAGCGACCTCAAAAACGGACTTTCTTTTGCGGCGAACTGCTCCTGGATTCTTGTCTGCCATTGCAACAAACTTTGTGCGAACTGCGAGGAAGATATAGGTAAAAAAAGCCGCTAAGAACTGTTGCGTTGGTGGAGTAAACAGCGTCTGTGCGTCTTGCGTCTGTGGACTGCGTGACAGTCGTACGTAAACCACGTAACGGCGGCGCAGGCAAGTCAGTTACACTAGAAACGTAGGGAGATTGATTGACAGCCTGTCAGCTAACAGATAACGAGGCAGTGTCGTTATCTATTGGTAAATGTTTAGCCCCACCACCTCCAGAGTTGATGAATTTTTATTCTCTTTTTTTTTGTCATCATAATTACAAGGCTACTGCACCTCTATAATGCTATCATTGACAACTTGAAACAAACAAAAAAAATAAAAAATCCTCCATACAACCTTTAAATCCTGGCCTCCAAACATTGTTGTGGTGAATTACTTCGTGGCGCACAGACCTCAATGCAGATCCATAAATTAAAAACGATGGCGACATGGTGATGACGGCAGTGTGTGTTGAGTCAACGCACAACTAAACTTCGACCTTAAATTGGGCTTTAAGAGCACTGCAAAAGAACGCAGTTTTGACTCTCCCAAAAGCGTGTTTGAGATTGTGATTTTCGGTCCAAAACAATTGTTTGATTTGTTTCATAGGCATCTCACGTTTCTGCTTTAAGGCCGTGGCTCTTATACTAAATTTTTCATCAGCTCTAAAATTTGTAGCTTGAAAGTGGCAGGTTAGTTTTGTAAAGATGGCTCACTGGAGGAAAAAGGTTGGAGACCCGTGGTGTAAACAGTTTAAAAACACAGTGGAGCTCTTCCTGTATTACCACATGCCAAAGAACAGAATAGTGTTTTCAGTTTGAGACAATAACTGAGTTTAAATATGCAGGGTTTGAGTGTTAAACATGTGTGAATGAAACACAACTGCGGGGATGTTTTTGATCAGGAAACATCACAGTAAAGATGAGAAAACAGCGTAACACAGGCCCTTTCAGGACAAACTTCAAAAGAACTAAAAGAGGAAACTTGAGAGCAGACTTTCATTAGATTCAATTATCTCTCCTTCTGTCCCTGGGGAGGTCAGTGCAGGAGCGCAGAGCAGAGACAGAGCCCCCTAGAGCCAGGCTCATTAGTCTTACACTTTTTGTTTAGATTGTTAATGAGGAAGATGCTTTTAATAACGTCTGGAAGTCAAATAACGAGCGGCTTTAAACATACAACGTATAGAAAGGCACAGAGAAGTCAAATCATAGTTTAATACAGTTACTCTCAGATGTATGTTTGGCTTATTAAAGGTCCACTATGTATGTTTGTGAGTCTGCCACATAGACTGAACAATGGACACCAGCCGCTGCGATCCAAATAGGAAGTGAGCATGGGCGCGCTTCTGGCTCCAGTTCACTTTCTATTGAAAAACCGTGCCCCCTCTCTCTTTGTAGACTCCTTTGTCAGGCAGTGATGACTTACTTTTTTATAACTGCATGGTATTTTTTGTATATATTTTTGTATATAATAAGTTTTTATATACCCTATGACGTCCCACATTTTTAACACTGACATCTTGTGGTGTTATTAGGTGCATCTCCACTCCTCCTCTTCCAGGTGGAGCAGCCCTATTGGTGTTTTTTTTTGCATTTAATTCACATGGTTTGCTCTCAATTCTGTTTGTCGCCTGAGGAAAACCATAGGCTGAAATGCGTCGGGACATTGTAAGCTGTCCATTAAGACATGCCGTAAATTAATAAAGGCATTTTATTTTAACCAGTGAGTGCCTTGGGTTTTTTGCATCTTTTTACTGACTTCCCTTCCCAAAGAGCACCACTGAGTTGGATCTAGTGTGTATTATCCTCTGGAGGTCCAGGAAGCGCTTCTTCTGAAACCTTTTTTAGTGTCCGACTAAACTGTCTGTTTTTAAGTCCCTCCTAAAAACTCACTTTTTTCCCCTCGGCTTTTAAGACAGTTTGAGGGTTGACTTTTTACCTGTACAGTATTTGTAATGTATTATATTACTTGTACCTGTCACTGTATTTGTCACTGTTTGATATCTGTTTGTTTGCAGCACTTTGACTGACTGTGTTGTTTTTAAAGGGCTCTAGAAATAAAGCTGAGTTGAGTTGAGTAACTGTTGCTGTTAGGTTAATCATTTTGGCAGTGGCGGCTGGTGATGCAAACACGAGGGGGGCTGTTCTTTTTTTAAACATATAAATAAATATACAATACCAATAATAATAAAATATACAACAAACGCTCACTGACGCAAGACTGAAAGGAATCTTACAGTGTCTGCAATAGGCTTTATTCACGCTTACGTCACAAACACAGACCGTATATATGAGTGCACATAGTTTACACTCTGTAGCCGCCGTGTGCCAAATAGGAAGTTCGCCAGGAGGCTCTTCTGGCTCCTTCTGGCTCCAGTTGACTTGCTTTAGGATCTTGTCGCTCCTCTCTCTCTAACTGCTGCAGTGAGCTTCGTCATTTTGGTCTTAAAATGTTCGTATTAACCCGCGACACGTGAAGCTGAATTAGTTTTTCGCTATTTTGTCGGTCAAAAAAATTCCTACGAGTCTGGCTCCAGAGTCGCTCCTGTAACCGTGAGCATCGTGAGCCTCATTTGAGCGGCGCCGAACGCTGTGGGTGACGTCACTCTTGCTTAATCGACGTCTTTTATACAGTCTATGGTCTAAAGCAGGAAAACGTTTGGAAACATGCAATAACGACTTCCGGCGGGCTCTGTTCGTGGTAGTAAATCTGACAAAATCTGAGAAAATGTCCCAGTTTTCTTCATCTCCATGTCACTGTAGCGTTCGGTGATGTTCAGCTCATCAACAGTTCCAACCAGACCTCAGTTTTCATCATTTCCCCAGTGCGATTAGGAGAGACGAGGCTCCAAATTCAAGACGATTCCAAACAGCACATACGTCTGCAGTCGTCATTTTACCTCTGTTTTGTTTTATCACAGTCGGTCGGCGAGCCCAGTGTCGGGAACTACACCGGAAGTTGTCATCGCATCTTTCCAAACGTCTTCTTGGTTTGTGACGTAAACCTGAATAACAGTCTATAGCCGATATGGTGACTAGGTTTATTTACAGAAGAGAGAACAAGTTATTAACCTTTTTGGGAAATTTTAGTGTTAAGATGAATCCACTCTATGTGATCCTGGTGTTTTATTTGATTCATTTGTCCATAAATCAAATAAAAGACAAACCAGGTTCCTTCTTGGCCTGAGATCGTTCCTGCGGCCTCGATGAGCTTTATTTGACTGGACTGAACACTACTGGGTGACGTAGAACTCCCTTAGTCTACCCCAGTAAGTATTTTTGACCAATAAAAACACCTGTAAATAAAATTATAAGTTGAATTTCATATTGTCAAATATTCCACACCTGCCTGGAAACTTGGTAGCAGACCTTCACCCGCAAAAGTTACACAGCGCACCTTTAAATACTAAATTATGGCTCTAAAATCAGATTGTTAGGATGCAGAGGAGAGGACTCACGTTGTGCCAAAATGCCCTGAACACGGTATCCTAGGACAATAGCGGCTCTCTGTACGTCCAGGCTGTTAAGTAGGCCAGCTGTTTCCACTGCAGGTATCCTCTCTCCGTCGGGACCCTCCACAAAATACACAATCTCCAACGGCTGATCCTCGCCCGCCAGACGACTCGTACTGACAACCTGGAACAAAGAAAAGAGTTAACAGCTTCAATCGAGCTTAAGGTTTAAAAATGAACTCCTGTGAGCTTTAAGAATCTGTGCACCATTCGTTCATTTGTTTTTCAATATAAAACCAAAAATAAGAAAACAAAAAGACAACTATTTTCTTCATTATTTGTCTTCAAAACCAAAATGAAAGAACAGATAACGATTTGGTTTTTCAGTTTTTGATTTTGTGTTTAAATGAATAATGGAAAAAACGGATAACGGCCGCTTTGGACTGAACCAGGACTGAACCAGGACTGAACCAGGACTGAACCAGGAGTAACCCAGGTCCGGGACCAGACAAGAACCAGACCCAGACTGAGACCAGAACTTAGACTGGGACCAGACCAGGACTGAGACCAGGACTGAGACTGGGACCAGAATAGGACTGAAAACGGTTTAGTCCTGGTTCAGTCTTGTTTTAGTTGTAATTCAGTCCTGGTTTAGTCCGGGATCGCAGTTTAAGTCATGTAAACGGGAAACGGTCGTTGTCCGTTTTTTTTCCATTATTAATTTAAACACAAAATCAAAAACTGAAAAAACAAATTTGGAGACAAATAATGAAGAAAATTGTTGTTTTTTCATTTTCTTATTTTTGGTTTTATTTTGAAAAATAAATGAACCAATGATACACACATTTTTAAGCCATGTTATAATGTTGTTACTGCATCAAAAACAGACCTGGAGTTGTGTTTTGTTTCATTCACACACATTTGAAAAACCCTGTATTATTAGTCTCTCTACATCTCCAAAGATCAAAATGCTCTGATCCACTTTGTGATGTCATGAAGCAATAGTTTTCAAATTAACAGCTACTTTTTATCTTTTGTTCAGTAGAGACGGGCAAATCCAGAACTGAAATCATCCAGATGATTCCAGTGAAAGTGCGTGGAGTTTAAAAACATGAATGATTGAATGAATGAACGGTATATTCTCATCTCTGTTATAACGTTGTTTCTTCATTAAAAACATACAGAGTTGTGTTTTGTTTCATTCACACATGTTTAACACTCAAATCCAGCCGCACACTGCGCTCCAACAGATACGTGACCCTCGTCGTTCCTAAAGCCCGCGCAGCTCCTCATTTCAACACAGTCCAACAAGGTTCATTTGGTCTTCCGATAATTTATGTTATTAGGCTCTTTTTTCAGACCAAGAGGACCAAGGGGAAGTGAGCAGTCGAAACTGTCAGGTATGAAAACAAATCCTTGGTCTGAAAAAAGAACCTAAAAACATAACATCAACTTCAACACACTTAAAAACTTAGTTTGTTTTTACCTCAGTCGACTTTTCAAAACTCCATCCAGAGTATTTCACAGGATGATTGCACATGCTTTTAACACTTTTATATGTTTAATAGTAAGTAAGTAAGTCTTTATTTATATAGCGCGTTTCACAGACATTTTGGTCACAAAGTCACTTCACAGAGCATTATTCAGCATTATTCATTCACTCTATACCTGGTGATGATAAGTTACTATTGTAGCCACAGCTGCCATGGGGCAGACTGACAGAAGCGCGGCTGCCATGCCAATCAGCGCCATCGGTCCCACCACCATCACTCACGCACACACCACTTTCATACTAGGCAATGTGGGTGAAGTGTCTTGCCTAAGGACACAACAACGGTTATTCCACTGGCGCCCCCCTGTGGCACCTGATTTTCCCAGTGTTTCCCATCCAAGTACTAACCAGGCCCGACCTTGAGGAGCTTCTGAGATCTGACGGGATCAGGCTGTTACAAGCTGGTGTGGCCACAATCCACAAATCTACAAATGTTTCACTGTCTCATATCACTATTCACTGTTTCATGATATAGTTGATGTGTGAGTGTTTTCTGTTTGTGTTGTTTTATTCTGACTCTTGGCCAGGTCCTCATTGAAAACGAGAAGGTGTTCTCAGTTGACTTAAATATTGAATAAATAAATAAATAAAATTATTAGGTTGAGTTCTTCTTTTTCTGTTCCACCTTGTAATGCCATGTGGTAATACAAAACGTGCTTCACTGTGTTTTAAAACACAAATTTCAGCCCTGGAATTACCAATGTCTACTGAACTAAAGATAAAACGTATCTAAAAACTACCACTTCATGACACCACAAGGAGGAACAGAGCATTTTGAGCTTTGGGGATGTAGCCAGACTAATAATAAAGTGTTACTCAAACATGTGTGAATGAAACAAAACACAACTCCAGGTCTGTTTTTGATTCTACCATTCGAACATTCTCACATTGCTACAAAAACTCACAATAGACAATTTGATGTAATATCGGACCTTTAAATATTGATGAACTGTTTGATTTAATTTTTTTGATAACCCTATAACCTTATTGATAACTCTTCTTGTACATTATTTGCCCCCCCTCTGCCTGCACAGTCCCTGCCTCTCTGATGCTTTTGTACAGTGCGTTGTCTGCGTGTTTGCCCGGAGGCGAGCTCTGGTCTGCTGTCTGCGTTGCTGGAGAGTGTAGATCAGGCTGACACAGAAAAATGGCTGGACAGACTCACTGATCCAGGCCTAATCCAGCCCATGCTCAGTTTATTAGAGTGGAAACAAGGCAGTGCCAATGTCTGTTACTGGATGACCTCAATTCAACCCCTTTTATCTCTGGGCAGGCTCCTAGGTGACAATGGCGTATTATTTTATCAGATATATGGATTGTGTGTGTGTGTGTGTGTGTGTGTGCAAACAGAACAAAAGGGTTTAAAGGGTGTGTATTACGCTGTTTTCTGATCTGTTATAATGTTGTTTTCTCATCACAAACAGACCTGGAGTTGTGTTTGTTTCATTCACAAATGTTTAACACACAAACCCTGCACGTTTAGGTTGAATTCTTCTCTGTGTGTGCACTTTTACAAGAATCATTTGGATCATTTCAGGCCTTGAGTTGCCAAAGTATTCTGAACAAAAGCTAAAAAGGTAGCTGTCAACTTGAAAACGACCACTTCATGCACGGTGGAACACAGTGTTGCCAGCTTTAGAGATGTGGATACATATGGTCACATATGTAGTTATAAGCCACATTAACCTGTGATTGTTGCTGTACTTTTCTTTGTCCTGTAGATGATTTTACATCTACCTGCCGAAGGACTGAAGATGGAAATTAGCCACGTTGGCTGTAATCTTTACATATTAAAATTTTTAATGTTCATTAATATGTGCTGTCCCTTTACAAATAAATAAAATACGGAAAAATAAAAAAAAGAAAAGAAATAAGAGCATGTGGTCACACAAACTCCTGAAAATTAAATTATAGCCAGTTAGGCTTTAAAATAATTCATTTTGATTTGTGGAATAATTCATTTTATTTTATTTTTTATGAACATTCTTTTAAAATGTGTGGAATTAGAAAGTTTACAGTTCAACATTAAAATCAGCAATGTGATTAATTATGATTAATCATATTTGAAAAGTGTGACTAATTGACTAATTGACAGCACTTCCTTCTCCAAACACTAGTCAGGCTGGCGCCACCTAATGTCTCTGCTCAATTTCATTTCTCTCCAGTGACTAAGTCAGGAATCAAAATACACTAGACATACATTTTGTTTTGGCAGCGATTCCTGAGATCGAGGATTTAAAGCCCGAACAATGAAAATGTTTGGTGAATTTTATCAAGGGCAAAGATGTTATTGCCCTTCTTCCTTCAGGATTTGGGGAAAGCTTAATATACCAGTTAGTCCTGTTAGCGGCGCTTTACATACGTCACGACCAAATAGCAGCGATTGGTTAAATGAAAAAAAGTACCCGCCTACTGTCGAGCGAACAAATCCTAAAGCGGCGAGGTCAGACTGATGAGTCAGCTTATCTAAACACAACTTCAAGAGAGTAAATGAGCAGGAAACAACTATAACATGGTTAAAATGGAAAAGTCGATTTTGCATAATAGAGCTGGCTAAAGAAACTATTATTTTGTATTGGAAATTACACAATAACATCGTCTAAAAAGCGGCGTTCTTATTATAGAATCAAAATTTGTATTGAGTACCAAGAATTTTCCTTCACATTGAAATCGAGTTTTGTATCGTGGCAAGGTTACTAAAGGTGTACGGAGTGAGTCATGCCTCATTAGACATACGACGAACCCTCAAAGACAAGTGCTTTTGAAATGTAAAAAAACAATTCTGCCATTAAGGTTTAAAAGGACAAGTGTCTTTATAAGTGTCAACATACAAAACGTTATTATTTTAGTGATTGTGGAGAAACCCTTTGAGTGGCAGCAAAGACGTCAGCGGCTAAAACAAGACACCTGACGAATACAAATGAAGCCGAGGGCAAAAAGGTTAAACAGAGAAAGAGGCTGTGATGTTTATCTTCTACTTTAAAGGTCCTAAATTACACAAAATTGACTCTTTGAGCTTTGAGTCTTGTTATAATGTTGTTGCGTTCTTAAAAATTGACCTAGAGTCGTGTTTTGTGAGTAGTTTTTCAGGTTTACTGTGAAATTTTACCTTTCGTTTAGTAGAAATTGTAAATTCAGGGCTGAAATTATCCAAATGTTTCTTGTGACTAAATCAGGACTAAACCAGGACTGAACCAGGACTGAACCAGGACTGAACCAGGACTAAATTAGGTCTAAACCAGGACTACATTAGGACTAAAACCAGGACTAAACCAGGACTGAACCAGGACTAAACCAGGACTGAACCAGGACTAAACCAGGACTAATCTAGGACGAAACTAGGACTAAACCAGGACTAAACTAGGACTAAAGGACTCCAGGACTAAACTAGGACTAAACCAGGACTAGGACTAAACCAGGACTAAATTAGGACTAAACCAGGAGGACTAAACCAGGACTAAACCAGGGAACCAGGACTAAACTAGGACTAAACGAGGAGGACTAAACCAGGACTAAATCAGGACTGAACTAGGACTAAACCAGGACTGAACCAGGACTGAATCCAGATTAAACCAGGACTAAACAAGGACTAAACAAGGACTGAACCAGGATTGAACCAGGACTAAACCAGG